CTCGAAATGAGATCATACGATGTTGTATTCAAAATTTAAGCCAATCTTCGTGACTCGGTTGATTTAGTAAGCCTGAAAACACTGAAGAGTTGTATGTTTTTTTCTATTCATAATTTGGACTTGAGTCGTGAACGAGAATTGTGTATTTTTGCATAGGCTACCCATTGCAACTCGAAATGAGATCATATGTTGTCGTATTCAAAATTTAAGCCAATCTTCGTGACTCGATTTATTTAGTAAGCATGAAAACACTGAAGAGTTGTATGTTTTTTTCTATTCATAATTTGGACTTGAGTCGTGAACGAGAATTGTGTAGTTTTGCATAGGTAACCCATTGGAACTCGAAATGAGATCATACGATGTTGCATTCAAAATTTAAGCCAATCTTCGTGACTCGGTTGATTTAGTAAGCCTGAAAACACTGAAGAGTTGTATGTGTTTTTCTATTCATAATTTGGACTTGAGTCGTGAACGAGAATTGTGTATTTTTGCATAGGGAACCCATTGCAACTCGAAATGAGATCATACGATGTTGTATTCAAAATTTAAGCCAATCTTCGTGACTCGGTTGATTTAGTAAGCCTGAAAACACTGAAGAGTTGTATGTGTTTTTCTATTCATAATTTGGACTTGAGTCGTGAACGAGAATTGTGTATTTTTGCATATGGAACCCATTGCAACTCGAAATGAGATCATACGATGTTGTATTCAAAATTTAAGCCAATCTTCGTGACTCGGTTGATTTAGTAAGCCTGAAAACACTGAAGAGTTGTATGTTTTTTTCTATTCATAATTTGGACTTGAGTCGTAAACGAGAATTGTTTATTTTTGCATAGGGAACCCATTGCAACTCGAAATGAGATCATACGATGTCGTATTCAAAATTTAAGCCAATCTTCGTGACTCGGTTGATTTAGTAAGCCTGAAAACACTGAAGAGTTGTATGTTTTTTTATATTCATAATTTGGACTTTAGTCGTGAACGAGAATTGTTTATTTTTGCATAGGGAACCCATTGCAACTCGAAATGAGATCATATGTTGTCGTATTCAAAATTTAAGCCAATCTTCGTGATTCGGTTGATTTAGTAAGCCTGAAAACACTGAAGAGTTGTATGTTTTTTTCTATTCATAATTTGGATTTGAGTCGTGAACGAGAATTGTGTATTTTTGCATAGGGAACCCATAGAAACTCGAAATGAGATCATACGATGTTGTATTCAAAATTTAAGCCAATCTTCGTGACTCGGTTGATTTAGTAAGCCTGAAAACACTGAAGAGTTGTATGTTTTTTTCTATTCATAATTTGTATTTGAGTCGTGAACGAGAATTGTTTATTTTTGCATAGGGAACCCATTGCAACTCGACGATAACATGTAAGTATATTAGAAAAAACCGTCAATAGTTCGTTTGTACAGCAAAAAATATGAGCAAAACTGTAGGCTATCCAAAGGTTGGATAACCCATCACCTGCTAAAATAAGGGTGCCGTGGCAGCCCCCCCTATACTACCTCACGGCCTATCACAAACAAAAATAGGTGATGGGCGGAAAGTTATCAAAGAACTACCAAATCATAAGGATAGATGCAATACAGAATTTTGTAGACAACATATTGTATTCTGGCAAAAACTTCCTCCTCCTTTGGCAAAAAATCATCAAATCGAGCTGCATTCCTGACTCTCCAAAGCGAGTATATGGTGCACAAGAAAGCAATCCTGGCAGCCTTGGCTCGTACATTAGCTCCACTCCTTTCCTTCTTGATCCATTTGACCGCACTAGCTAGGGTCCCCATCATTCGTGGAATGCCAATCCATGCTTTCATCATAGCCCAAACTTTTCCTGAAAAAGGGCATTCAAAGTAGAGGTGTGGAACCGTTTCCGGTCCACCCTTGCACAATACACAAGTATTATCCACATCTAATCTATGAAGATTATCACACGTGGCCAATCTGTTACGGAATGCCAACCAAGTAACAAAGGAAAACTTGGGAGGGATGTAATCTTTCCAAATAAACGGCATCCACACACGGGTGGCAGCCCTAGGCCTAAGCAAATCATAAACCTTGGAGGATACAAGCTTACCATTCTTCTGAAAAGCATTTAAGCCAAGTATAGCACTCGGGATGTCCTGGAATTTGGAGAGTATTTCATCTCGGATTTGTGCAATCTTTTTAAACAATTGTGAATCTCTTTCGTGTGGGACAAACTCCCACACACACCTACCCTTGAGATAAACCCCATGGACCCACTTGACCCAAAGTGTGTCCTTTTTTGTATGTATATCCCAAAAAGTGTTTGAAAGTAAAGCCTTATTCCAAACTTTTGTGTCATGTATGCCAAGTCCACCCTCTTCTTTAGGGAGGCAAATATCAGCCCAGGCAACCCTAGCGAATTTGCTTCCCCAAAGAAAAATGCGACAAATGGATGTAATCCCCAAAGAACCCATTGCAACTCGAAATGAGATCATACGATGTCGTATTCAAAATTTAAGCCAATCTTCGTGACTCGGTTGATTTAGTGAGCCTGAAAACACTGAAGAGTTGTATGTTTTTTTCTATTCATAATTTGGACTTGAGTCGTGAACGAGAATTGTGTATTTTTGCATAGAAAACCCATAGCAACTCGAAATGAGATCATACGATGTTGTATTCAAAATTTAAGCCAATCTTCGTGACTCGGTTGATTTAGTAAGCCTGAAAACACTGAAGAGTTGTATGTTTTTTTCTATTCATAATTTGGACTTGAGTCGTGAACGAGAATTGTGTATTTTTGCATAGGCTACCCATTGCAACTCGAAATGAGATCATATGTTGTCGTATTCAAAATTTAAGCCAATCTTCGTGACTCGATTTATTAGTAAGCATGAAAACACTGAAGAGTTGTATGTTTTTTTCTATTCATAATTTGGACTTGAGTCGTGAACGAGAATTGTGTAGTTTTGCATAGGTAACCCATTGGAACTCGAAATGAGATCATACGATGTTGCATTCAAAATTTAAGCCAATCTTCGTGACTCGGTTGATTTAGTAAGCCTGAAAACACTGAAGAGTTGTATGTGTTTTTCTATTCATAATTTGGACTTGAGTCGTGAACGAGAATTGTGTATTTTTGCATAGGGAACCCATTGCAACTCGAAATGAGATCATACGATGTTGTATTCAAAATTTAAGCCAATCTTCGTGACTCGGTTGATTTAGTAAGCCTGAAAACACTGAAGAGTTGTATGTGTTTTTCTATTCAAAATTTGGACTTGAGTCGTGAACGAGAATTGTGTATTTTTGCATAGGGAACCCATTGCAACTCGAAATGAGATCATACGATGTTGTATTCAAAATTTAAGCCAATCTTCGTGACTCGGTTGATTTAGTAAGCCTGAAAACACTGAAGAGTTGTATGTTTTTTTCTATTCATAATTTGGACTTGAGTCGTAAACGAGAATTGTTTATTTTTGCATAGGGAACCCATTGCAACTCGAAATGAGATCATACGATGTCGTATTCAAAATTTAAGCCAATCTTCGTGACTCGGTTGATTTAGTAAGCCTGAAAACACTGAAGAGTTGTATGTTTTTTTATATTCATAATTTGGACTTTAGTCGTGAACGAGAATTGTTTATTTTTGCATAGGGAACCCATTGCAACTCGAAATGAGATCATATGTTGTCGTATTCAAAATTTAAGCCAATCTTCGTGATTCGGTTGATTTAGTAAGCCTGAAAACACTGAAGAGTTGTATGTTTTTTTCTATTCATAATTTGGACTTGAGTCGTGAACGAGAATTGTGTATTTTTTCATAGGGAACCCATTGCAACTCCAAATGAGATCATATGATGTCGTATTCAAAATTTAAGTCAATCTTCGTAACTCGGTTTATTTAGTAAGCCTGAAAACACAGAAGAGTTGTATGTTTTTTTCTATTCATAATTTGGACTTGAGTCGTGAACGAGAATTGTGTATTTTTGCATAGGTAACCCATTGGAACTCGAAATGAGATCATACGATGTCGCATTCAAAATTTAAGCCAATCTTCGTGACTCGGTTGATTTAGTAAGCCTGAAAACACTGAAGAGTTGTATGTTTTTTTCTATTCATAATTTGGATTTGAGTCGTGAACGAGAATTGTGTATTTTTGCATAGGGAACCCATAGAAACTCGAAATGAGATCATACGATGTTGTATTCAAAATTTAAGCCAATCTTCGTGACTCGGTTGATTTAGTAAGCCTGAAAACACTGAAGAGTTGTATGTTTTTTTCTATTCATAATTTAGACTTGAGTCGTGAACGAGATTTGTGTATTTTTGCATATTGAACCCATTGCAAATCGAAATGAGATCATACGATGTTGTATTCAAAATTTAAGCCAATCTTCGTGACTCGGTTGATTTAGTAAGCCTGAAAACACTGAAGAGTTGTATGTTTTTTTCTATTCATAATTTGGATTTGAGTCGTGAACGAGAATTGTGTATTTTTGCATAGGGAACCCATTGCAACTCGAAATGAGATCATACGATGTCGCATTCAAAATTTAAGCCAATCTTCGTGACTCGGTTGATTTAGTAAGCCTGAAAACACTGAAGAGTTGTATGTTTTTTTCTATTCATAATTTGGATTTGAGTCGTGAACGAGAATTGTGTAGTTTTGCATAGGGAACCCATTGCAACTCGAAATGAGATCATACGATGTTGTATTCAAAATTTAAGCCAATCTTCGTGACTCGGTTGATTTAGTAAGCCTGAAAACACTGAAGAGTTGTATGTTTTTTTCTATTCATAATTTGGACTTGAGTCGTGAACGAGAATTGTGTATTTTTGCATAGAAAACCCATAGCAACTCGAAATGAGATCATACGATGTTGTATTCAAAACTTAAGCCAATCTTCGTGACTCGGTTGATTTAGTAAGCCTGAAAACACTGAAGAGTTGTATGTTTTTTTCTATTCATAATTTGGACTTGAGTCGTGAACGAGAATTGTGTATTTTTGCATAGGCTACCCATTGCAACTCGACGATAACATGTAAGTATATTAGAGATCGAAAAAATAGCATTTTACAATGCGTCAAATCCAAATCAAAAAGACTATCTAAGCTAGAATAAACTAACCTAGATATAATGCATCAAATAATGGGACAGACCCCACCTCACAAATAAATCATGTGTACAATCAAAGTGCATATCCCAATATGCGGGATACCACAAAATCAAGACTCACAATCTCATAAATTCACCCAAAACAGTCAAACAACACTACGTCAACAAAAAAATTAGGTATCCCTAATTTAACATCCAAAGAAAGATCGGAAAGGAGTAGTGAACTTTGAGTCAAAGCAAACCTCCCCTTTCTTCTTAGTAACTCCCGGTAGACCCTCAAAACATTTGGCGGTGAAAGTTAGGCCCTTTCTATCCAAATCATCCGTAAGTCGTAGAGAAGTATCCACTCTAATCACGCTAGCTTGCACAAATCTAAATGGTTTGACAAACAACTTGAGTGTCTTATCATTTATTACCTCACATTTGACGACAACATCGTATTGATGCATCTCCTTCTCATTCGTAACTATCCTCTCCGTTTCTTCCAAAATGGCCTCAGAATTCTCATTAGAGTCGGAAGACCCTTGAATGTGTGGCGCATCCCCTGTAGTAGCCCCAGAAGCATTCTGCCGCAGCAGCCCGGTCGGGTTAGGTTTAGACCCGGTCGGGTTTAACTGAGACCCGATCAGTTTGGCAGGCAATTTGGGCTTCTGCTGGGCAGTCATCATCTGAGACCCGGTCGGGCCAATAGGGCACCCGGTCTGGTTTACCGGCTGGGCAGGCACTGCTGGCAGAACAGAGCTCACTGTAGGCTTCCCAATTTTTTCATTGTTTTCAATGCAATCAACAACCTGTTTTCCCTTTCCATTATTCCCCTCATCATCCCGATTAGCTAATTTATTACAAATAAATGGGTGATGCCCAAATTCTTTGCAATGAAAACAATAACTAGGAAAGGTTTCATAGACCACGCTTTGTTTGAATACCTTATGGGAAGGTAGTCGTATAGGAAAAGATAATGGCGGTGGCTTTGAGGCATCAACTTCAATCAACACTCTAGCATAGTCATTGTTAATCCTCTCTTTGGTGATCTTATCCGTAGTTATCGGGACCCCAACCATGGATGCCACCTCACTCATTGCCTCATCATTCCATAATTGCATTGGTAAATCATGGAACTTAACCCAAATTGGTACTTTTAGAAATTCCTCATCCTCAAATGAAAAATTTTCCGAAAGTTCCTTGAGCATTAGGAGTTTCCCAAATACAGTGTAAGGTCCCTCACGTAGTACTTTCGATCTATCCTCCTCACTTTGAAATTTAAATATTAACCAACCTTTCTTGTGGGATCTCACAAGGCATTTAACTCCCCATGTAGCTTTAAGATCATGGACCGCTTTGAGCCCGGGAAAGCTTCCCGTGAAGTGTCCAACTAGACAGTAACCCCACATATCAACCATAGTGGGTAATTCCCGATCACCAAAGTCCAATGTCTCACCTTTCGGGGGGACATATCTTAGTTTAAAGCCATGTTTAGGGTCCCGATTATCCTTAAACAAGGTCTTCCAAGTTTTAGCCTCTGCCTGTGGCACCGGAGCCAATGTCCCAGAAAAAGGTAAGTCAATAGCTACAACACTCCCAGAAGCCATCTTATCTGCCCGTGGGAGAAGCTGCTTAGTTTTCAGCAGTATCCAGCCCAAGACCTGCAGAAGCAGCAGGTTGCACAATTGGTGTTGGTTCAATACAGTTAGCAGCAATTCCAGAAATCCCTATGTCCGGTTGTTTAGCAATTCTAGCAGGTTCCCTGTTCTTCATTAGTGGCACTACATTTCCAGATTTCAAAACAGGAAATTCTTCATCCCTATCCTCTAAAGCAGCAAAACTGGACCTGGTAAATCGTGTTTTGGAGGCATCCCCACCCCCTTGCTTCGTACGACCCATTACAGGCTGCAGCAGAGTGTTCCCAAAATCAAACCCCAAGTTTCAAACTTCAGCAGCATATGCAGATTTTAGACAGGGGTGCACGCTTCAGGTAATAGCGGACAGAGTAACCCCAATCGGCCACTACCAGAAATCCCCTGACCCCTGCAACTTCCGCCCCATAGCAGTTGCTTACAACCAGCAAAACCGAACCCCTGCTTAAATCCACTTGCGCAGAACCGAACCCCAAACAGCAGAAAAAAACGCAGCACACGTTTTGCTTTTGTGCAGAAAACGAACCCCAATCTCCAATAGAACAATCGATGCAACAAACAAGGACGTTTCAGAGCTCGCCCGTGCTACTCCAATCTTCCAGAAAGTAGGTCGTACAGCTTTGGGCAAAATCAGCCATCGAAGTTAAAATCCAAGTACGGATTTAGTTTAGCAAGTGATTTCGACCTCAGATTGCAAGAGGAAGTGAAAATCCACCATCGATTTCAGACAGCCCAAGAATCGGCGTGAATGATTCCGAGTGAGTTCTTGAGTGAAAATGGTCCAGAGATCCCAAAAAAACGAGCTCAAAAATTGGAGTATTTACACCCCAAATAAGATTAGGAAGTAAAGAAACCAATATCCAAGCTCAAACAAAGGATTAATGGAAGAAAAGTGATGAATCGAGTTTGCCGTAGAAGAGCCTCGCGAAGAGGGAGAGAATCAGCTCTCAACTTCTACAACCCACCCCCCCCCCCCCCCCCATTGCAACTCGAAATGAGATCATATGTTGTCGTATTCAAAATTTAAGCCAATCTTCGTGACTCGATTTATTTAGTAAGCATGAAAACACTGAAGAGTTGTATGTTTTTTTCTATTCATAATTTGGACTTGAGTCGTGAACGAGAATTGTGTAGTTTTGCATAGGTAACCCATTGGAACTCGAAAAGAGATCATACGATGTTGCATTCAAAATTTAAGCCAATCTTCGTGACTCGGTTGATTTAGTAAGCCTGAAAACACTGAAGAGTTGTATGTGTTTTTCTATTCATAATTTGGACTTGAGTCGAGAACGAGAATTGTGTATTTTTGCATAGGGAACCCATTGCAACTCGAAATGAGATCATACGATGTTGTATTCAAAATTTAAGCCAATCTTCGTGACTCGGTTGATTTAGTAAGCCTGAAAACACTGAAGAGTTGTATGTTTTTTTCTATTCATAATTTGGACTTGAGTCGTAAACGAGAATTGTTTATTTTTGCATAGGGAACCCATTGCAACTCGAAATGAGATCATACGATGTCGTATTCAAAATTTAAGCCAATCTTCGTGACTCGGTTGATTTAGTAAGCCTGAAAACACTGAAGAGTTGTATGTTTTTTTATATTCATAATTTGGACTTTAGTCGTGAACGAGAATTGTTTATTTTTGCATAGGCTACCCATTGCAACTCGAAATGAGATCATATGTTGTCGTATTCAAAATTTAAGCCAATCTTCGTGACTCGATTTATTTAGTAAGCATGAAAACACTGAAGAGTTGTATGTTTTTTTCTATTCATAATTTGGACTTGAGTCGTGAACGAGAATTGTGTATTTTTGCATAGGTAACCCATTGGAACTCGAAATGAGATCATACGATGTTGCATTCAAAATTTAAGCCAATCTTCGTGACTCGGTTTATTTAGTAAGCCTGAAAACACTGAAGAGTTGTATGTGTTTTTCTATTCATAATTTGGACTTGAGTCGTGAACGAGAATTGTGTATTTTTGCATAGGGAACCCATTGCAACTCGAAATGAGATCATACGATGTTGTATTCAAAATTTAAGCCAATCTTCGTGACTCGGTTGATTTAGTAAGCCTGAAAACACTGAAGAGTTGTATGTTTTTTTCTATTCATAATTTGGACTTGAGTCGTAAACGAGAATTGTTTATTTTTGCATAGGGAACCCATTGCAACTCGAAATGAGATCATACGATGTCGTATTCAAAATTTAAGCCAATCTTCGTGACTCGGTTGATTTAGTAAGCCTGAAAACACTGAAGAGTTGTATGTTTTTTTCTATTCATAATTTGGACTTGAGTCGTGAACGAGAATTGTGTATTTTTGCATAGGTAACCCATTGGAACTCGAAATGAGATCATATGATGTCGTATTCAAAATTTAAGTCAATCTTCGTAACTCGGTTTATTTAGTAAGCCTGAAAACACAGAAGAGTTGTATGTTTTTTTCTATTCATAATTTGGACTTGAGTCGTGAACGAGAATTGTGTATTTTTGCATAGGTAACCCATTGGAACTCGAAATGAGATCATACGATGTCGCATTCAAAATTTAAGCCAATCTTCGTGACTCGGTTGATTTAGTAAGCCTGAAAACACTGAAGAGTTGTATGTTTTTTTCTATTCATAATTTGGATTTGAGTCGTGAACGAGAATTGTGTATTTTTGCATAGGGAACCCATAGAACCTCGAAATGAGATCATACGATGTTGTATTCAAAATTTAAGCCAATCTTCGTGACTCGGTTGATTTAGTAAGCCTGAAAACACTGAAGAGTTGTATGTTTTTTTCTATTCATAATTTGGACTTGAGTCGTGAACGAGATTTGTGTATTTTTGCATAGGGAACCCATTGCAACTCGAAATGAGATCATACGATGTTGTATTCAAAATTTAAGCCAATCTTCGTGACTCGGTTGATTTAGTAAGCCTGAAAACACTGAAGAGTTGTATGTTTTTTTCTATTCATAATTTGGATTTGAGTCGTGAACGAGAATTGTTTATTTTTGCATAGGGAACCCATTGCAACTCGAAATGAGATCATACGATGTCGTATTCAAAATTTAAGCCAATCTTCGTGACTCGGTTGATTTAGTAAGCCTGAAAACACTGAAGAGTTGTATGTTTTTTTCTATTCATAATTTGGACTTGAGTCGTGAACGAGAATTGTGTATTTTTGCATAGAAAACCCATTGCAACTCGAAATGAGATCATACGATGTCGTATTCAAAATTTAAGGCAATCTTCGTGACTCGGTTGATTTAGTAAGCCTGAAAACACTGAAGAGTTGTATTTTTTTTTTCTATTCATAATTTGGACTTGAGTCGTGAACGAGAATTGTGTATTTTTGCATAGGGAACCCATTGCAACTCGAAATGAGATCATACGATGTCGTATTCAAAATTTAAGAAAATCTTCGTGACTCGGTTGAGTTAGTAAGCCTGAAAACACTGAAGAGTTGTATGTTTTTTTCTATTCATAATTTGGACTTGAGTCGTGAACGAGAATTGTGTATTTTTGCATAGGGAACCCATTGCAACTCGAAATGAGATCATACGATGTCGTATTCAAAATTTAAGCCAATCTTCGTGACTCGGTTGATTTAGTAAGCCTGAAAACACTGAAGAGTTGTATGTTTTTTTCTATTCATAATTTGGACTTGAGTCGTGAACGAGAATTGTGTATTTTTGCATAGGGAACCCATTGCAACTCGAAATGAGATCATACGATGTCGTATTCAAAATTTAAGTCAATCTTCGTGACTCGATTTATTTAGTAAGCATGAAAACACTGAAAAGTAGTATGTTTTTTTCTATTCATAATTAGGACTTGAGTCGTGAACGAGAATTGTGTATTTTTGCATAGGGAACCTATTGCAACTCGAAATGAGATCATTCGATGTCGTTTTCAAAATTTAAGCCAATCTTTGTGACTCGGTTGATTTAGTAAGCCTGAAAACACTGAAGAGTTGTATATTTTTTTCTATTCATAATTTGGACTTGAGTTGTGAACGAGAATTGTGTATTTTTGCATAGGGAATCCATTGCAACTCGAAATGAGATCATACGATGTCGTATTCAAAATTTAAGCCAATCTTCGTGACTCGGTTGATTTAGTAAGCCTGAAAACACTGAAGAGTTGTATGTTTTTTTCTATTTATAATTTGGACTTGAGTCGTGAACGAGAATTGTGTATTTTTGCATAGGGAACCCATTGCAACTCGAAATGAGATCATACGATGTCGTATTCAAAATTTAAGCCAATCTTCGTGACTCGGTTGATTTAGTAAGCCTGAAAACACTGAAGAGTTGTATGTTTTTTTCTATTCATAATTTGGACTAGAGTCGTGAACGAGAATTGTGTATTTTTGCATTGAAAACCCATTGCAACTCGAAATGAGATCATACGATGTCGTATTCAAAATTTAAGCCAATCTTCGTGACTCGGTTGATTTAGTAAGCCTGAAAACACTGAAGAGTTGTATGTTTTTTTCTATTCATAATTTGGACTTGAGTCGTGAACGAGAATTGTGTATTTTTGCATAGGAAACCCATTGCAACTCGAAATGAGATCATATGTTGTCGTATTCAAAATTTAAGCCAATCTTCGTGACTCGATTTATTTAGTAAGCATGAAAACACTGAAAAGTAGTATGTTTTTTTCTATTCATAATTAGGACTTGAGTCGTGAACGAGAATTGTGTATTTTTGCATAGGGAACCTATTGCAACTCGAAATGAGATCATACGATGTCGTTTTCAAAATTTAAGCCAATCTTCGTGACTCGGTTGATATAGTAAGCCTGAAAACACTGAAGAGTTGTATGTTTTTTTCTATTCATAATTTGGACTTGAGTCGTGAACGAGAATTGTGTATTTTTGCATAGGTAACCCATTGGAACTCGAAATGAGATCATACGATGTTGCATTCAAAATTTAAGCCAATCTTCGTGACTCGGTTTATTTAGTAAGCCTGAAAACACTGAAGAGTTGTATGTGTTTTTCTATTCATAATTTGGACTTGAGTCGTGAACGAGAATTGTGTATTTTTGCATAGGGAACCCATTGCAACTCGAAATGAGATCATACGATGTTGTATTCAAAATTTAAGCCAATCTTCGTGACTCGGTTGATTTAGTAAGCCTGAAAACACTGAAGAGTTGTATGTTTTTTTCTATTCATAATTTGGACTTGAGTCGTGAACGAGAATTGTTTATTTTTGCATAGGGAACCCATTGCAACTCGAAATGAGATCATACGATGTCGTATTCAAAATTTAAGCCAATCTTCGTGACTCGGTTGATTTAGTAAGCCTGAAAACACTGAAGAGTTGTATGTTTTTTTCTATTCATAATTTGGACTTGAGTCGTGAACGAGAATTGTGTATTTTTGCATAGAAAACCCATTGCAACTCGAAATGAGATCATACGATGTCGTATTCAAAATTTAAGGCAATCTTCGTGACTCGGTTGATTTAGTAAGCCTGAAAACACTGAAGAGTTGTATTTTTTTTTTCTATTCATAATTTGGACTTGAGTCGTGAACGAGAATTGTGTATTTTTGCATAGGGAACCCATTGCAACTCGAAATGAGATCATACGATGTCGTATTCAAAATTTAAGAAAATCTTCGTGACTCGGTTGAGTTAGTAAGCCTGAAAACACTGAAGAGTTGTATGTTTTTTTCTATTCATAATTTGGACTTGAGTCGTGAACGAGAATTGTGTATTTTTGCATAGGGAACCCATTGCAACTCGAAATGAGATCATACGATGTCGTATTCAAAATTTAAGCCAATCTTCGTGACTCGGTTGATTTAGTAAGCCTGAAAACACTGAAGAGTTGTATGTTTTTTTCTATTCATAATTTGGACTTGAGTCGTGAACGAGAATTGTGTATTTTTGCATAGGGAACCCATTGCAACTCGAAATGAGATCATACGATGTCGTATTCAAAATTTAAGTCAATCTTCGTG